TGCTACAATCTTACAGAAATCTGTTGTTGATGGATAAAGCACATATAAATTAGCTAAACTTTAAAGTTTGAGCAAGTTTAAGTCATTAGAATTGGGAATATAATTTTTCAAAAATTTCGAAAATTACAAAGAATGTATGTTTGGCTGGACGCTTTGGCTGGACACCATACATTTCTTTGTAATTTTGGCATGGTTTGAATGTCCGTAACTTTATTGCTATAAGTTCAAACATCATGAAACTTAGTCAGCAAGCCTTTTGTATGGTGCTCTTTCACGTGATGGGGTTATTCTTTTTGGAACCATTATTTAATTTGAATTGGAAGTTCGTACCCAGTCCCTTTTAGTTTTGTTATCGGCCAATACTGATTACATGAACCGTAGTTTTGGCCACTCGGATTTTCGGGGGGGGGCGATCACAGGGAGCCCAACGAGGAGCGAATTAACAACCTATGGAACCTGTCTGGACCCTGAATGGAATGCAAAAAAGTAAACGTCCCTGAAGGAATTAACCACGTCTTCCATTTTGTACAATACAATTTAAGCTACAAAAGTTCTATTCCAGTCCTGGAACCGTCATTATAGTTGTTTTTAATCGTTACCTATATTTCAGATTGACGAATAAATAAATTATTGAAAAACAATAACGGTTTTTGGTACCTGTATTTTCACTGAAAGCTACTGCCTTATGGCATTAAGAAAYTGAAGCAACAACGCTGTTTTACATGCATGCATTGAAGGTATATGGATTCATTCAAGCATTTTGAAAATTTGTAGCGGAAGGAACTTATAGAATTCAGTGTTGCAAAAATCCGTCTAGAGTTATTGAAATGGTGGGAACTAGCGGTAAACTAGTGTTAGCTGCGTCGGTGTTTCTACTGAAACAGTTGTGTAAAAAAGATAAGTTTAACACCGTAAAAAAGTATGGGAAATAACTTACTTATTTCCCATACTTTTTTACGATGTTAAACTTATCTTTTTTACACAACTGTTAGAGTTCGTTGCCACAACAACATGCAAAATAGTGCAAATACTTTTGCTCCAAGATTGCCTTCAATGTTCGTAGATGTCTACATCATTRGCATTTTCTATTGAAAAGTTTCCCATGTGATCTGAAATCATGATTTTGCAAAAGTGACCTTGTTGTGGGCATCAGTGAATACTGTCATAAGTGATGTACCCAGGTTGCTCTGTCAAATGATCCGGGAATTCTGCAGTTGTTGCGTCGTTAAGTTCGCATATCTCCAGCACTTGGTTGTGGTTGAATGACTTGCATCTGCCCTCGAGCCTACAGTACATCATGCAGTGAAAGCGGTCTACCTGATAAAACCGASCAATCATATGATGGCTAAGGGCCATTGGAAGAGAATGAAACATGATGTCTTGGTTCTCTGTTGATTAGAATGAATTGCRTTTAGGAACTGGTGAGACTCCTCGCAGCCAAGGAGCTAAGACGACGTTGTTAACGTCTGCAAGGAGTTCACTGATAAAACAGATGCATAAGTACGTCAGTGAAAGTATCTTTTAAACCTGGAATGCTAAACTACCGAATTTAAGTACTCGATTTGTCAAGTATATATATTATAAAGGTTTGCTCAACTCCTTGATCACTTGGTTAGGCGCGGATTCATCTGATTCCGAAGAGCTAAATATCAATATACTATTTATATATGCATGTATTTGTCAATATACCGATTGAGTGGTCTTCAATACAGTATCTGGCCTTCCAGGAAGCGTCCAGGTTCTTCACTTGGTAGGCGTAAAACATATGGCAGTTTCGCACGTTGATGTCCACACTGTGATGGCAACAATCTCCTTTACTGTGGAAGCATACTTTTCTTTGTACAATTCCCTCACTCACAGTTGGCAAGGAYCCYTGCATGTACCCTGGTGCCAATGCTCCACAGTGTTTTTGAGGTACGCAGGTCGTTGGTATTTGGTAGAAGTTGTTGTGGCTGTCTTTGAATACGTACCAGTCACTCTCATTGAAAGTCGTATCACTGCTTGCAATTGAAGTAGCTCCCACCCATCGAGAATTGTCAACGATAGTTTGATATCTGGTACATACTTCAAACGATTCTACAACAGAGTGAAGAAACAAGATACAACTTTAAATGAGCAATTCTAGCCTGAGATTTATCTTCATGCATGTCCGACAAGGGTCCGGTTTTCCAAAGGGTGGATAAGGTAATCTGCACTTCATGTTATTTTATCAGGCCTACTCCGGGACAGAAAGTTGCCTTAACACGCCTTCTTAGTCGCGAAGGAGCCCCACCTAATTATCCAAATTTCCTTAAGAAGCCTTTTAAGGCCACAGTGCCCCGCCCAATTTATCCTCATTTTTCTTAGTCGCCTTAAGTTGCCTCAACTTGCGGCGACTTAAGGAGACTTTCTGGCATAGATCAGGCCTTTTATGCGCTGGATAAAGATATTTATTTGTGGTGGATGTCACCTCATGAATACCTACCGTTCGTACAACCGGCTCCAGATCGATACGAAGCAAGAATAAATACAATAATTGACAAGGTGGACTGAGTAATTCGACAGAAAAAGCGAGACGTTTCTTCAAAAGAGCATTCAGGGATCGAGTGGAACAGGCTTGCAATCAAAGCCAGTACCTACCCTTTACATGGAGATAAAGGTTCTTGGAATATACACCAATTGAATTGGATGCATTGCAGGTATAAAATCCTTCGTTAGATTTAGTGACATTAGTAAGGATTAGTGATGGTTGATCTGTTTTATTCTGGATGACTTGTCCTTCATATATCCAGGTGAAAGTCATGGGTGTGTCTCCGACAGCATCACAATTCAAAGTAATGCGCTGGTTGCTGTAAGCAGTAATGTAAGACCTTTCCCGGGTGGTAAACACAGGAGACCCAAGGAAACCTAAAGCAAGTCATATTTATATTAAAACATCGCTTTGAACTAAGAAACGGTTCATTGATAAAGCTGAAGTGGCCATCACAGAGTATTGATAAAGATCTGTATTTTATCACCTGTACGTCGACCCAAGGCTGTTGCTCTCATACAAGGATAATCAGTCGTCTTATGCCATGTCACGGGGTGAATCCTAATGTGCCTTGCTGGGATGTCCCTGTTAAAGAGGTTTGTCACATATCCAGTTGCATCTGTGTTACCGGTGAAATTCTGAAATTATTTGAAAAAAATGTGCTATTGGTATGATGTCAATCCTTGTAATTTTGCTTCTGGACTGAGTGAGTGAACTTTACCTTGACTTGTGATCCTTCCCTCATGTCGTCGTCCTTATAGAAAATCCAATCAGTACCATTCAAACTATGCGATACCTGTAAATAAATCATTTTATGTTGATAGTCGGACTGCATTCATTATTGTGGCAAGTTGAATTTTTCTCAATTAATCTAAGAAGAACTCTGCGGAGCAAAAAAGGCCAAGCCGTTAAGACACTTCATTGATCCTGGTTCGATTTCTGGTCCAGGAAATTATATGATTTAAGTTTATAGACTGGTATTCTTCCCCTGAATGTATACGGCAGCTTCACATCCCTCAAGCTGCAAGGAATGCTGCATTGCTACAACAATCAATGTAGTTTTTGTGTACCTATTGTGAGCATGAATGCTGTTTATGCCCCAATGGACATGAAGAAATGGTTAGTTTTACCTTGTAAGTGGTCACCCAACGTTCAACGTTATTTCCTTGAGCTTGTGTCACGATTCCTGTGACGAGTATTCTGTGACCAAGATCAAATGAGACCCATTGGTATCGATCCTTATACTTTGCACACCATGCCGCATATTCCTTAGGAGTGTTGAGTCTTACACGACGAACAGCATGATTTCCAAGTCTGCTGGAGGATGATAATTGACTTCCAGGTACGTCTGGACTGTCTCCACTTGGATATGCTATCCCAAGTTCCCTAGGGGAAGCTGTCCAGACATAAATTTAACTTAATGAACTGAGTATTACTCCAGTTTCGAATTCTCTTTTGTGCAAGCTTAGCTTCAATCAAACATAAATGTTTATTGTCTTCTTTGAGCACAGAGTGTTTGCATTACTAACTACGCTCACTCGTGAGAGATCTTTTCAACACTCAAAGATAAAATCCGTATCTCCGCGCGCCCACGTAATATCCTTTATATATTACATGTTGCACAGACTGCACAAATAAGATCTCGAAACTGGAGTATTTGTAAGAGTTCACTGTGGCGTTTTGTGGTAGCCCATGGCCGTGCAATAGAAGATACTTTCTGGTGTACAGCAATGATGAAAATGTATATGAAGCTCAACAGATTTGATAATTATACTTACCTCTGCCATAGGAATACACCTCAGCCCTCATTCCATAATGACCGTGCCAAGTATAGGGGTGGAACCTTATGTAGCGAGCATATATCACCGTTGAGAGACTGTGACGCACAACGGTACTTGGATCATTGTTACCTCTAAATATCTATGAAATCATTAAAAGCGTAAGGAAACCACTCTCGTATCTTTTTTAATTTCTGCGCACTCAACCAAAAGGGAACAACCGCATACCAATTGGCTCATGTGGTTGACCATCGTACTACAGTGCGGTAGGTCGCGCGTGGGTTTGCACCCTGGCTGGACCAACACTCAGGGTCTTAAAATAATTGACTAGAAGTTGCTGCCTTTGTTTCTCCATCTGCAAATGGTAAGATCTTCACGTCCTCTCGGATAACGACGTTAAATCGGAGGTCCCGTCTACTCTACTCTAACCCTGTAGTGGATGTTATAGAACCACTGAAGACGCAGGTACGACCATCCTCAGTGCCTGTACTTCGGCCGCGGGGGACACTAACACATTAAYGCACTAACAAATCTAGCCTACTCATGTTTGTAAACTGCACGGCTTCTTAAAGCGCCTACAATAGCAGTCTGTCCAAGTCCCTCACTATGTAATCCAGATGTAATTCAGATCATTGTTCTGTAAAATCTGGAAGTCGGCCACACGTATCTTTCTTTAACTATCTCTCTCTCAACATTCAACATYAACCACGTGCGTACTTACTTTCSACTTTCCGTCTTTTTGGTACTCTGTCCATGAGCTGGTATCATTTCCAAATGTCAATTTAAAAGATGTTACCCGATAATCCAATACGATATGRWAAGAAACRCCKGGATGTCTTCCTTGTATCGCGACYGCGGTTATAAACTCCTTTACACTTAAATCAATRCRGAACCACTCATTTTGCGTGAGTGTCATCGGCGACCAGCATTGGATGTAATCATGTACTGTCCAGTGAAGACGGCCATATGAAGGTATCATTGGATCATGTTTATCTCCTTGCCAGTATGAAGACGCTTGGATAGCATTGTCAGGTATTTCACCACTGGTCATGCCAAGTGCGCGGAAAGGATCTATTTGTTAAAATGAACAGGATCAACTACTGTACAATATTCTGGGAAAGACTAATGTTCGGGAATTTATATGACTAAGATAATTATCACATAAAATAAGGACACGGCAATTTCTAAAAAATATTTCTATCATAGCGCGCGTTCAGTGACGGTTCCAGTTGCTGAGTGCAACATGCATGGATATGAGGCCTAACTGTACTCTTTYATACTACTTTCCCCTGTTTGTCTACTTCATACAGTCGTTTTTCTAGTAAAGTGTGCACCACCCTCACAGATGTCTACGACCCTCTGAAGAAAATCATTGATTTCTCCACTCCCGCAAAATCCATAAATTAAGGAAAACATTTAGGAAAATACAAAGACGATAAATCGACCTGCATCGCATCCAAAAAGCTGTATWCGTGCACACACGTTTCCATGCCAAGTTTCAGGWGTAAGGCGAATAAAGCGAGCTGCAGTCAAATTCTTCAATGTATGTTCTTGCACTATTTCTTGATTGGAATTTCCTTCGAACTAAATATTATTGAAAACAAAGTTAGCTAGGGTWTCATGATTTATATTATAACATAAAAATCATGAAGGAATAATATTGCAAACAAAATCTATTGTCGGTGCGCAATACTCCATTTTCGAATTGACAGCAGATTCTCTTACACAAAGACTTTACCAAGCAGAAAAGAAAGCATGAGAAAATGTTGTAGGTACAATAGCGCTAACAATTACAAATTGTCAAATAAAGCAGCGGTTGTTCGCTTAAAATTAGAAAATGTAGTATTGACGTCTGCGCTTTAGGGTCAACACTGACTAAGTAAAAAACAGTCAGTTACATGATGTTTACTGCCAATCTCTTTGTACATCAACCAATGACCTTCAAGAACGCCATATGATACACTGAATGTCTTAATAAATTCATCTCCTTTAGGGTTTCCTTGAATTGCAATTGACTTGATYATCTTAACCACACGTAAATCAACCTCTAGGTGCTGGTTAACGTTGGACGAATTTGCACACCAAGCATTTATGTTATGAAGAAATGCTTGTTGAGGTCCATAATTATCRGAGGGAATTCTTGAGGAAGTCGATGTGAGAACAGCTTCACCAGGCAAAATGAGAGGTTCAWTGCARTCTACAGAAAACACATACAACTATTGAAATGTGACAGAAAAAACTCTAATAACTGTTAACGCGCCGAGCTTAGAACAGTTTCTGGCAATGAACAACTGAAAATCTTTGAATTAAGATTCTACAGCGATTAAAAATTGAAGCGCTTCTTGTTGACACACACGACTCCAAATTAAAGTTTTTTTTTTTGTTGTTACCTTCAGTTTCAGCTGCAGTAGCTGCAACATCAGTTTTCTGCAAAGAGATTACATAGATTAGCTACATCATGGCCGATCATCTTCAAGRTAACCCAAAACATGTAATAAAAATCTTTAGAAAAACCAGTTTAGAGTTTAACTAATTCATCTTCTTCAAGCTGAGAAAATTGCACGGATATAATTTTATGTCTAAAAATTTCAATTTTCCGTTTCTGTTGTTTTGTTTGTTTTGTCTTTATGGCATCGGKTTGACATATCAAGGAGTAMGCAGATTATACTAGAAAACGCAAATAAAAGTTAACAACTGAGCCAAATTGATAATGACAGACTCAGTCAGGACAAAATGTTTCATCAGAAAATTACCATTGAAACTTGGATACAGAATCGTGATATCGATAGTCAAGCTATTTATCGCCTTGTATCGCCTTATTGTTTGAAACTCAAATTTACATAAGTTCCACAGCATGATACGTTAATCGTACTTTTAAGACCGAAAAATAAATAGTTTGGTATATTTAAAATAGTGCAGACAGAGAAATTCCTTTTTTTCATAATTGTTCCTACATTTAAACGCTGTCGATCTAGTTTTATGAAGAATACGTTAAAATGATTTATGAAAGGATATGTAGGGAATAACATAAATAACCCATCACGATTAGTAATGGCATTATATGCCTTAAAARGTTTAATTAGGTTGAAGAAAAAAATATATAATTTGGCTCAATGTTCTTCTCGATTGGCACTTTTTATTCAAAAATGGATGTCGGGACGTTTTAACTTACCCTTAAGCCAAATCAAATCGAAAAAAATATCAGTCAGGTATTTACAAAGCTCAATTATCTGTTGAAAATATATGGGATTTTATGTGAAAATACTGCATCTAATGTGAATGTTCAAAAACTCAGTATAATTGAAGAATCAACAAAAATCTTCTTGAGTTTGAATTTAGGGATCGAAGTTTTAATAAGTACAGGGCCATGGCCAAAAACTGCCTAGCTATAGCCACTTACGTATTCAAAAATTTAGAAGACGACTTTAAAAATAAGCGACTTTGAAGTATTTATAGCTGCGCCCAGCCAATTTAGAAAAATAAATAAATAACTTTTAAGGGAAGGGAAATCAGGTGAATAGCCAAGCTAATCTTTTGAGACAATCTATCGGTTTAACACCATTAGTGTGTTAAATTGATTAGCCGACATATTCGAACCTCTCTTATACAACCATAAATTCAGCGCACATAACAAAATAATAAAAATCAATGTGTTTACTTACTTGAATGCTGAAAAAGCAAGTCAAGGTTAAGCACAAAACATACAATATATATTCTGAAATCAGCATGTTGTTGCACGATGCTTTCTGAACTCGTACGTAAAGCAAACTAATGCATCGGTCGCTATTGGCGCTACACGAACAACATCGTGAATTATTCACAATTCATGTTTTATTAATTTTTGTTTTGATTATTAGACATTTTTTATCAATATTACCATTTATCATTTCAAACTTTAAATTTTGAATAAACCATTCTTGCATCCAATAAACTGTTGTTTTAATAAATAATTGAGTTCAATGGCGRAGGTTTGACCATGGTTACGATACGCAAAGATCTTGCATCAAAATCAAGTTTTCATTATCAACCAATTGGAACTTACACTAGTAACACTTCGGTGACGTATGAATATCGACATATGGTTATAGACCTCTGTGCAAGCTTTTACGTCATGTACCGTATACGCAATGCATTGTAGGATATGTTTGGGACAGAACATGGCGAATTTCTTTTGTTTTCTCTAGAAAATGATCCCACAATGTAGTGCAAATGAAGTAGTGACGTAGAAGGTACCGTTCAAATGTCTATCATAACTTTTGTTTTACTTGCTTTGCTATTCGTTCGTGACACTCACCTTCAATTGAACACAATAATCCACTATTGCAATGCACAATGATCGTACTAAAATTAAATGGGTTTATGAATTTAGTTTTCCATRATAATAACAAGCTTTGTATTATAGTTATGTATATTTCTTAGTATTTCATGCATCTTTATTAACGTTGACGTGGATTTTTTTTACTTCACTGTCTTTTCCTATAAATTAAATAAATTTAGCTACACAACATAAATATACATAAATTTCCTTTTTCAGTTTTATCAATATCAATATTATAACTATTTGATTATTATATCGTGTTTATGATTGTGCAGGTTGTGTGTTTTAATACCTCACAAAAGTGTTGTTGTTTTTTTTTTTCATAGTTTTTTATCAATTTTACTGTCCACAGCGCCATCTTGAAAGTCACTGGACGCGTATTTTGGCTACGTAAAAAAACAAGATAAAAAAGCGTTTGAGCTTGCAATATCAGTTTATTCACATGTGAAATATATATATTTATATTGTCTTTGATATTAAAAACGTATCTATAATGATTTATCACTGTAGCCTCAACCGCCACATTGCTTTTTTCAAGATGGCGCCTCTTTTAAAAAAGTGGTTCTGAGAGTATTTAGCTTGGACACGAATAATGTATTTTCAAAGTGAATTTTAGATTTGTTAGTTTCTATCTTACACCGATAAAATCAGATTTTATTCATAGATTTGTCTCGCATACTTTTGCCATCAAGACTGAACACATGATCGTATGTTAGCTTTGGCGTGGGTTGACTTCGTAAACATCAACATCCTTACAAAATAGTCTACCATATACTCCATAGAATCCTTTACGAAAGTCACTGCTAAACATGGCATAAATCACTGAATTGCAAACACTGTTTGCGTACGTAAAAATCCAGCATATTATCAGTACAATTTTGTGCCTTTCGTGGGAATACCCATTGCCGAATTCRGCCCACAACCACACGACCTGGTTTGGAAACATGCAGCTTGCAAACACGATGACAATYACTATAAACATCTTGGTGGCTCTTCTGTTAGCCTCGTTAGCTCCATGGTGRTTCATCTGTAGTAGCTTCCATTTTGCTTTCTTCTTCTTGGAAGTGTCGTTTTCCAGGCTTGTGCTCGTCGACAGCTCGCTGTCTCTACTGCTCGTGATTGGTTGTTCGTCCACCACGTGATCTTTTCTCATGGCCCAGGTCTTTACAGARGCGGAGAAYAGGCTTTTTAAAGTCATTGTGTACATGACTGTCATAAAAATCAAAGGTACGCAGTATTGKACCAGGAATAGAAATATTGTATAGGCCTTCCTGTAAACATCTCCTGCCCAGGCCTCGCTGCATTCGCTTCCTTGYAAGCGAAGCACGTAAATATATGGTGYAACGACGAATAAAGAGCATGTATGAATTGCAGCAATTATCATTTTAACATGAGTCATGGTTAATTTCGACTTGAAGGGATGCATTATGACCCGATATCGATCAAACGAAATGGCTGCCAAAGTCAATGACGATGATGTTGTGGAAAGAGTTGTTCCTGGCCAAAGTATTTTGCACAGGAAACCACCATACATCCACTCATAATTGTTTTCTTCCAGAGCAAAGTCAAATGGTATGCTTAACAGTGGCGTGACTAAGTCACAGAAGGCRAGATTCAGAACAAGAATGTTTGATGGCGTGCGCATGCGCTCTGTGTTCTTGATGACATGAATRACGAGTCCATTTCCAATAGTACTGCACACGAGTATCACACAATAGCACAATATCTTGATAATCTTAAACTCTGTAGTCTCATGTGGTGGTTGTATTGTCGCTGGGACGATGTCAGTGTTATTCAACATTGTAGGAAATCTTGGAAAAAAATATATATCACACCTTTCAGTTCAGTTTCAATATCCACCAAATAAACTCTGTTCGATGTCTAGTGAGCCTTTCGAAGTTTTATGCCCTATTCATCAACTAAAAACGATGAAATTCCAGATGGAGTTGTACAATGTTTCTCTGTTCATCCAGGAGAATGCCAATGTTCACAGTCAGTTCATCGATGATCCAAGTGTTGTTTGCCTTTCTAATAGCTTACTGTTCTTGTATTGAACTTTTTAAAACTGGAAAGATAAAAAAGACATCAAAAAACGTGAAGAATGAATAATAACACTAATAACAGTCATTGTTTTTCCCAACCTTCCCTGTCAAGTCATCATGATGAAACTGAAACTGGTGACTATACTACTTAGCACAGCTCCTTTGACTTTCCTGAAGGTGTCTAGACTTTTATGTTTCACAACTCAGTATATCTTTACACTTAACGAACCACTTCATCCGCCAAAAGCACAATTACTCACACAACAATTTGTGCATTTGGCGTCTTTTAGGCTGGTAAACCACACAATCAAAACAGCTGTGAGCGACTTGAAGTAGGGCAGACTCTTTGGGTGCTCATATGATTCCTCAAAAACGAATTAAGCAGAATGCTTGCGGAGAATACCGTCCAAAAACCACCGGAGAGCCCTCCCACAGTGAGGACAATTACTTTTTTATTTTTAGTTTGGGAATAGTGTCTTGTAGTTTATCAAGTTCATGTAATTACATAGATATTTAAATGAAACTTGATAGTCTATTGCGAAGAATTAGTATCTATGGGATATTATATCACATTAAACTCTATTATTTCTTTAATTTTACGCGTGTATATGGTCTACAAATAAACTTTTTTTTTCTAAACTTTTTTTTTCAAACAAGTATTACACTGTCAATGTACAAAAGACAAACAGCTGTGTAGAACTTAATTATCGGAACATAGCGACTTGATCAATAAATAGAAAATGAGTTTAAAGTGAAAACAAAACTGTTTCAAAAACTTGCAAGTCAAGTTACAAGTAAAATATGCTTTCTGATTCAAATGACCCATTGCGCTACAATTATTCAAAACCACAGATATCWATGAAAATAGGATTAAAATAGTTATAATGCAACCATGGCAATTACGCAGTCTCCTTTAATCAACTAGCTATTTAAAAATAGGAATGTTATTCGTTTTCATTTAAACATTGGTATYAATTAATCTAACGAAACAGTAGTTAATATTTGTATATTTTTTAAGTAAATTTTGAAATTATGTACCTTCAAATCGTCAAATTAATAGAGGTTTCGAGACATCTCCTGCCTTGCCTTATAATGCTCGCGATAAACTTTAGTTACATAACCTCAGGGTAAAAATAGTTGATAATGTGAATGCATATCATTACTGAAAAAAAACTTACTCGTTATCAAACGAATCTTCAGTCAGCATTATTGAGGCTGAATGTTATCACTGAAGACATCGATGAAGCGGGTATTCGTCTATACATTGCCTTTGTTATCTGATCACATATTGTACCTTGACATGGAAACAATACCAGTATCTAACTTTTGTCGAGATTAAATATTCCCTTTGTATTTCATTATTTAATTGCACTTGTTACTTGCTATTAGATGACAATTTTCAATGTAATTTTAGCTATTGCACCGATGGATTATACTATATGAAGATTCTATCGTGAATTTACAGGTGTAATTTCACGTACTTAACCCGTGATAGCAGCATAGTGCAAAATAGGTGCTAAATTCACAATTAATAATGTTTGTTTCATGGATTTARTTTGTGAAATCTACTAGACCGAATGCACCTAAACCGTGAAACAATTAAAGATAGTGCAATATGTACGAAATTTTGCAAATTTCTGTGTTTTCTATTGTCTGATAAACACCATTCGTTTGTTTCACGGATTAAGTGTGTTTACAAGATCATAATCATCATTATATATGAAGTTTGAATTTAAATTCATATTGTTATAATTGTAAAGA